CAGATGTGAATAAAAATTCCAAAGAACTTTCAGACAATTTGAAATCATAAGATTTTACCAAAATCAAAGCTTTAAAACTTACGACCTTTAAACTTTATACACAACCATTCCCTACGATAAATAAAAGTCCAGGCTTTTTGATAACATTGAAAGCTGTTTTTTCAATAACAATGGAACTCGTAAATTTACTTACCGGTACCTGGTCATTGGTCATATACAAAATCATATCGTAAAAACACATTCTTATTTTACACATAAGTACTTTAATGTTGACATCAAAGAGATGCTTGAATTTCTGATTGACAATATCTATGTGGGTTTGAGAGACCATGTATTCCTACAATCTCTTGGAATACCTATGCGTTCAAATTGCGCTCCGTTATAAGTAGATCTATTTTTATATTCATATGACGCATAATTTGTACACGATGTGTGAAAGAAAAAAACACTTGCTGTGGCCTTCAACTTGATATTTTGATATATATACGACGCATAGTCAATTAACAATATTAATTTCCATACCTTCGTCGACACGAAATATCCCGGTGAGCTTGAGATAAAAAATACCTCAGAGTATGACACATCTGTTTTATACGTGTGTATTTTACTTGAAAAAGACGTTAATGGTAATCTAATAACCAAGCTATATAATTAACGTTATGACTTTAACTTTTGTATCGTCAAATTCAATTACTTATGCAGCAATATACCATTATCACCTGCAAACGGAGCTTATGTATCTCAGGTGATTCGTTACGCAAGAAAATGCTCTACGTATGAACAATTTCTATAACCAGGAAACTATTGACAAGCATGTTGATGAAACAAGAATATCAGCAGTCTCGTTTAAAGTCATCATTTCGTAAGTTCTATGGTCGATACAATGACCTTGTCAGCAAATACAATTTATCAGTCAAATGCTGACTAACGATTTTCATACTAATTGCTAGTCCATTATTTATACACTGAATTGACTACTGATTTTTCTACTATTTCCTGATCATGAGAAAGAGCACACGGCTCCTCTTCTTAAAATTTACCTGGCTTGGTATATTTTTCTAAAGTTTATACAACACTTTTAGCACAAAGGTAACATTTTCTGAAATTTGTTTTCACCTGTAAACCTTTACTAAATGTGATTTGTCTATATATGTTTTTTATTGAAATATTACTAATATTTTCCTAGTCTATTTAATTTTCCAATTCTTTGAAGAAAATATTCTAAAATATCCACTTTTCTTAACTTGTGACATGATATTAAATCTTTTTTAAAGAAAAAAAAAATGTTTTTATCATCTGTCCTTAAGGAACAATAACTGATAAGTGACTCAAATGGCCTTACACTGAATGTTATAATTTTTCTTTTAATAAAGGTCCAATTTGCAAGGCTATATTTAAATTTTTAATTTGATAAAAAGTTCCATTTAATTAGAAATATGAAAACATAAAGTTCATGTTTTCCCGCAATTTTTGCATATTTATATAAAACTGCTTATTTTCATTCATTTTTGTTTATCAGAAAATATTGAGCGGAGACTTGGACAAACTGAATATTTCTATTCAAGATGTATCTATACAAGACTAATTAGTTACAGAAAATTTAAGTCTGTACCAAACTACACTCAATGCTTTCCGTAAGAAAAAAAACGTCAGGAACGTAAATGTAAAAATTCAAATGGATATATTTCCAGTATAATGTATTCTCCGAAATAAAAATCAATTATAAACATTGGAGTATCATTCTAAAATATCTATTTTAAGGAGGCCAAATTTGACTCTCATCATATATCGTTCTTTAAAACCCTTATATACTCTGACCTACTTTTAAAGACACTGTATATATCATGTATATGTCCATCTTAATTTTAAAACTTGGCTTAAAAATTTCCATTACGGACAACTGAGTAATGGGTCCATAAACATCGAGAATCAAAGCCGCTTCGACACTGTTGAGCTTAATTGGTATTTGTCTCAAAACGAAGTAAGAAACCTAATGATAAAACTGCTATGAAATATATTGGACAGGAGAAAACTTGAAAGATAGCATGTCATTTTTAGTTCAAGAAATGAATTTTGTTAGTCGTAAGTCGATTTTAAATGAAATCAATATTACATTAAAATAAAAGAGGAAAAACAAACTTCAAGGGTTTGCAGAATATAAAGAAAAAAAAAAATAAAAACTCACCAACAATTTTGATTAATATAAAGAAAAAAAATATAATATTACTTGTATCAATATTATTTTGATATCATACAATTATTGCTGTTTTTAGGTCAATACGATGATGTGGATACCTGAGGAGTACACTATTCACTGAGCCCGTACGGCTAAGTGAATATTGTACTTTGAAGGTCACTAAGTCATCATTTTGACCGCAAAATAGCAATAACTGTTTATTGTATTATAAAATTATAGGAAACTCCTACAAGTCTATTTCATTGGTTTAATTGAAAGTTTAAACAACAAATTTCTACAAAAACACATTGTGACAGAAAACATGGAACAGGTCAATAATTTGTGATGATGACCTGTAATAACTCATAATATTGATCTTAAAGGTCACGTGAGTCATTATATTGACCTGCAACAATGCCTTATTGACCTGGAAGATCATGTGCTGGTCAATATAACGTAGTATTTTTCTAACAAGTTTGGATCTAAAAAAATCAGAGAGAATGAAATTATTCAATCATATAATAAATAACAACATTATTATAAAGAAACTGTAATTTACACTAATTTGACATTTGCTTTTTTTCATTTATATTTATTACAATATAATAACACTTGATACATATGTAATAATTTTATGAAGGTATTCTTTATAATTGAATGGTAACACTATTGCAACTCTAAATGTTATATATCCTGTGTATATTGTTTATCAACTTTACAATATGCCATACATTTTTTTTATATCTTATCCATCACTCATTACAGATAAAACTGTATTGTATTTATGTATAGTTCATACATGTACAATATCCTGAAAAACTCTTTATGGGGCCATAATCATAAAAAATGAACACATGTACATGACAATAAAATCAAAATCTTAAAATGCATTGTTGAACAGAAAAAAAGTAATCTTTAACCTTTTAATATATCTAACTTTATCAATTTATACAGTTTGTTATCTTCATCGATCACATTTATAGTAGCCTTATATATGGACACAATCACTGCGGAGAAATTTATCCAGTACACATGTGAGTTAGTGCTAGGTAAACGCTTTTGTATTAGGCTTAAAAGAGCCCTCAGAGGGACCTTTTTGCTTTGGGCTCGTATAAGCAAATCCATATTGTAACGACACATTGTGACGTCATGATTCTGTATTGTACGATGTAATAAAACACAGAAAAAAAGGATCAGAGCAGGACTAAGATGAATAATACTAGGAAGAATGTTCTAAAGACTAATTAAATCTTCTGATCTTTCTCAGTCTAGCGGAATGTGACGACACATAAACAGGGCAAACTCTCTCCATTGTTATTGATTCAACTCGATCCTTTACAAATACCAACTAAACAGCTGAACTTTGGATATTTGTGCGGCAGTGTCATCACCGCTTATTCTGCATCTAATTCTATCTTGTTTCTGTTTAACTTAATATAGCATGTACCGGATTTGATTTGCTTATATAAGGAAATATTTACATTCACTGTGTGTTTCTACTAAGCCAACAGTGAAATTGATTTAAAAATCCTTTTCGTGTATACTCAAGCGTAGAAACATACACGGAGAAACGTGCGTTACCGTGACGTCACAATAGGGCTACAGCGACGTTAGTAAATTTATAACAATAAAGGGCAGCGAGAAATTCAAATATTTGGTATATTTTCGGTGCTTCCAAACATGTAAAATGTAAATATTAGGAATGTTTTTAAGTTTAGTGTGAATTATTGGTGTGAGAATCACACATACTTGCACGTAGGCACATTAAATACTGTAAACCAACTTTTATTCGCGTGCGAGGAATTTTCGCGAAGTTCGCGAGAGCCTCTTCATCGCGAATATTTCTCACCGCGAACCGGTTCTTAAAGTCTATGTGTCTATTAAAAAGAAACCTAAATAGGCTTGATCGCTAAAATTAATCGTTGCGAACTGGTTTACCCCCGGCAAATCGCGAAATAGAGTCGTCGCGAATAAAAGTTGGTTTACAGTATGCCTAAGTGGCAAGTCTGTGTGATACACACACAAATAACTCACACTACAAAAAACATTCCTTAAATACTAACATTTTTTAACCTGGGCTATACTGGGAAATCCAAAATCAATTTTTTTCCTTAATTTACTTGAAACTATAAAAAAAAATCTTAGAAATAAAATGAACATATATCAATGTAAAAGATAAATAAATCTGAATATGTCTAAAACTGCATTTTCTTATATTTGAAATACTGTAGAAGCAAATATTTTTTTGTTTTTTGTTGATTTGTCATCAAAAATAGTTTAGTTGGCATTTAATTTCGTTGTTTTGAATGTTATCCTATTCAATATATAGTCATATAAAATTTCGTGTATGATTTGATTTTGTTGATAATTGTTAACAACGCAATAAATGATATTTCATCGACCACGAATATTTGTGCTTTTACAGTATATCACTACTCCTCGGCTCTGGATCATGATTGTGTTTTAAAAATATTTAATTCTATTCACGTTTTATTTCAGTTATATAAAATTATTACGTTTATTAATTATAGATCCAAGATTGTAATGAATTGTTATTATCCAAATATTAACACCTTTACTCTTACAATAAGTCATTTTAAAGAAATGGATAGCTTTGTATTCTTTTTTTTATCAATATTACCTTGAGTAGGTCTGAAAAGCTTCTTTTTTTTTGGTTTTGATATTCTTAAGATATTTGAGACTCTATTGCTCTTTTAATACTTTTCGAGTTAAATAAAGATAGTCCAAATAGGATCTTAATTTTTTTTTTCTTAATAACTGTTAAGAAATTTATCTTACTTAACACAAACAAAGGAGGGTGAAATGTTTATAAACTGCGCTATATTTATTCTTTTTTAATTCTAGGAATAATCATATTTGTAAATAAAAGACAGCTAGACCAGCTTATACTTTAATGTTCTACAGATCGATACCCAAGCAAACATGATTGTAGTGATCGTTATTACTAGCTCTCAATTACTGTAAACATATTACATTTGGTTGTATATTGATTCTTTTTAGGGCTAATTAGGCGGAAAATAAAACTTCAGGTAATTCAATAACAACGTTAAATGTCTTTCACCTTATACATTATAGAGGAAATTAGGAACTGCGCTGATTCTAAACTAAGCAAACGTTTTCAAAAGTCAATTTCCGAAATAAATCGTACACGCTTAATATAATACATTTACAGTATTTCCCACTATTTCCCGGGAAATATCAGTATTTCCGGGAAACTCACTGATATTTCCAGGGGAAAAAATCCAGCTATCCTATTAACTTTCCATTCGTTTTTAGCATTTTATTTCCGATTTGTTCGCAAACAAAATGTGCATTCACAATTTATGAATTCTATTACTAAATCATGGTATTAACAAGCAAATACAAAGAAATCTGTATCATAACCAGAAAGTTCTTTACTTTTAACGGTGAAGAGTTGGTTTCATAGGTTGTTTTTATGAATTCCGTTGTCTCGCCCTCTGTTTCGGTGGTCGTTATAGGTATAGTGGTCATCTCGGAACAGGTCAAGTTTGCAGATGATAGGCTGACCAATTTGATTCCCTTTAATTTCTCAGGAGTGAAGCAGCGTATTCGTTCAGGAACACTGACAAATCCAGTTTTTATGTAATCGAGCATTCCAATCAACTTGCAATCGCAGTGATAAGGATTATCATGCAATGTCCTGAATAAAGTAATGAGAACTTTATATAAAACCTAAAAACTTCACGTATATAATAATTTTGCTAAAATTATATAACTACGATATCATTTCACAAGTCTACAATCGAAATGTCTTAAACATGTACATAAGAACCTCATTACTTGTTCTGATACAGGGTAAGTCCTTAAATGTATCGCTTAATCTTACAAATTATGTATTTTTTTATCTAGAGAACCGTCCATTTCCATTTGTCATCTTTACCCAACTGCAAAGTTGTAAACAACTGAAAATTTTACCTATACACGCAATGGTACCATGTTTATTATTGGGTGCATTTTATGGTCCGATTTTTACGCAGTACAGTTAAGGCAACACATGAAAAAAATATGGTAATGAAGACATAATGAGGTCTGACGTCATGACAATTGCTCCGCCCTGATTGATCCATATAAGGAAATGGTGCTCAAAATAACTATTTACCGATATTTGCAAGAATTTGTAATAAACAGCAATATCGTGGCGGCATCAGCTGAGATTTGCAGTGGATTTAAATGCAATAACCACACAATCTTTAAAGAAAATAGGAATAAAATAAGAGACAAGGCATTGCTTCTCCCTTTTACGAGAATATGAGGACATTAAATAGCAGAAAACAGACGATTTGCACCAGATCCGTAGATCCATCACTGCACTGTAATTCGAGGCCAGGTATGTACATATGTAGGTACATGTTTAGATCTACAATATGTAGACATGCTTTTGTTAACATAAAAACCCGAGTGTGTTCATGTTCATTTAAATGTATTATCACAGTCAGTGAAAAACTGAAAGGTAGTGCCTTGTGTGCAACCCCCCCCCCATACTAAGTTCAAGTTGCACACTTTTTAAAATTATTAAAAATTAATTGCACTAAATATGTACTGAGTTCATGTCAATTAGCTCATTTTCTTTGAGACAATATGTGTAATAATGGAGGTCATCAGTAACACAAAAATGAGATGTTTTCATTGTGTCAGTTCACTAGTGACTAGGCCTAAACAAGCAATGATGTCTTTTGACATACAAATATGCTACACAATTAAAAAAAAATTATCAGTATCATTGTGTTGAAAACATATATAGAACCCCCACATCAGATCTATGGTTGTAATTTCCTAGATATTCTAAATTAATTTAAAAAATATTCATTTTTTGTTTATATTTACATGTACATTAAAAATATTTATATAATACTTTTATCATTGTAGCTGTTGTCCAGAGTTTCAGTCTTAAAGAATGAACAAATAAAAAATGCATCATTTCTCCACAGGGTATGTATACTTCTAAAGCATTTAACATTTTTAAAGTTTGCATACATGTACTTTAGATTTTGGTTTTTTTTCAGTTTTGTAAAAGAGAAACTCAGAATTTTTTTAAGAAAATATTCTATCAATAACTATTGTAAATGTCAGAGGTTTCACTTTCCCAGAGAAGTTTTGTAACACATTTTTTTCCCCATTTATATGGTTAACATAAATTCACTACAGTATACAATGTAGCATAATTTGTTTTGTCAAAGTAATGCCATTTTATTCTACAATGTATATTTAGTAATCTCATGGCATGTAACTGCATATATATTGTGTTGTAGGCCTAGCCATTCCTAACCGTAGGACAAATGGATACATTCAGGCAGCAAGTTAATCTACCATTTAAGGAAAATGGTATGCTCAATATTAGCTATAAACCATGCAAAGTTTTGATAATAAAAATAACAGAAGAATTGAAAACATGTATATGCACCTTATTTTAATTGTTTCAATGCATTTGTTTATTTCATTTTTTTTAAACACAAATTACTTTCAATAATGGTATTTCCTGATTTTCTTATATTTTCAGAATTCATTTTATCCACAAGAACAAGAAGTGATGGAAATAATTTGCACCTGCCCAGCATTCCTACAGTCTGTCATTGGATTTGAAAAGAAATGTTTATTAAATAAATTTTCTAGATAAATAATAATTTGACTTTTTCATATATTTACTGTACAGGTGTTGAAAAGGCCATTAAGATTTGAAAATCTTAACTTGCATACTATTTTGTGTGGAGGGTACTAATGTCCATCAAGATCTTATTTCCAGCATGTGCATTTTGTTCATTTATTTTTCAATAATATGACCAAAAACAGGAGACTAGAGATCCCCCTATATTGATTCAAAATAGGATAGGGGACGACCATTTGATTCTGCGGGAAGGGGGGGGGGCAGGTGAGTTTTTCCAAGCATATTTTTTTTTTCATTTTCATGTCAATGAAGGAAAGATTAATATTTATTTTTGATCAATTATAGATAAAGGACAGATTATTTATTTTCCTCTTCATTGAAAAGTCTAACATGCAAAAAAATGTAAAAAAAAAAAAAAAAAAAAGAAAAAAAAAAACCACTGATTCGTGGGAGGGGAAGATCACTGATCTGCAAGTATTTATTTCTAAGATCTGCCAGCCCCTCACCCTCAATATAAAATGGCTATCCCCTTAACAAATACAGGAGTATACCCCAATCCTTTTTGATTAGTTCCTAAAACTTATAACTTCGTTTATATCCCTTAATTAACAGTAAGCGGTCTGATTGAAAGTGATCGTAGATCTGAACATGATCTCGTATGCAGAAAGAAAAAAAAATATTAACACAAGTATGTGTACCATAGGCGTCGAAGCAAAAGTAAAGGGGGGCTAATTGAAGGGGGGGCTAAACCAAAAGAAAAAGGTAAATTCCAATGCCTACATTATGTATATAATTTGCAAATAACTTAATAAACTTGTTGGGAGGCTACCCCCCTCCCCCGGGTTCCGACGCCTTTGCGTACAGTAGTGAGAGAGGGGAATAGATATTTGATTAATTATTAATGGAGGCTATATTTTAATAAACCATTTGTGTTCTAAATAAATATATCGGCAATATTTAGACCTATTCATGTATAGAGTGTACATGTATATACACATCTTTGAGGAAATGCGGGAGGTTTGAAAGAGTTAAATGTATACAACGTATGGAGAACGAATACACAGAAAAGAAAGAAATGTCAAGGATTTTATGCATACCGTTTTGCAATGATTTAGTAAAATAAAAAGGGTCCAGCCCTATCCGCATGTATATTTATTTAAAATTTACGAGGTAAACAAACTGTATCAAGTACTCAAGAGTTATCTCCCATGCTGGGTCAATGATGCGTTTGAAAACTATAATTAGATTGACTCTTCCAAGATTTCATTTTTAATCAAAAAGTGCAAGGGCAAGGCGACAATCTAAAAAGTAGGTGTTTATTTTAAATTATTTATTTTATTGTAATGTTTTCAAAAAGTGATGCTCATTTCTTTGTAATCCTTTAGGTAATTTTATAATTCGCGATGAAATTAGGAAAATATCCTATTTTTCATACATAACTGTCTGTTTTAGCTGAATAACTTAATTATATCGGAAAACTAACTGAATGAGCATCACTTTTGAGAAAGTATAGATACATAGAGACAACATAAAACATTATGCAGTTAATTTTTTGTTTGCCTTGCCCTTGCACTTTTTGGTTAAATTTGACATCTCATTTTTTGACCTAAAATCGGAGCCCACGTGACTTCAGGGGGTCACATGATGTCAAAAATACCAATGTGAAAAGCGATGGACATACTCTTAAAGATAACAAATAGATATTTGAACTAGAGTGACTTGCTCAAAAATAAAACTGTTAAACATTATATGTATCGGATTCCGTGAGTTTTTATAGAAAATGTTGCCTTAACTGTACTGCGTATACGCACTTAAAATAAAAATAGTCTGAAATACTTACATTAGTTGCAGATTTGTCAACCCACTTATTGTGATGTTTTTAAGGTAGTTATCCTAATCCCTAATAGATAAACCCACTTACTGTGATGTTTCTATGCTATTAATCCTACTCTGAGATACTAACAATAGTTGTAAATTTGTCAACCCGCTTGTTGTGATGTTTATTGTAGTAATCCTGCTATGAGATACTTACAATACTGGTTGACTTATCAGCCCGCTTATTGTAGTGTTTGTAAAGGTAGTTATCCTGTTTCCATATAAGGCCCTGAGATAAAGTTAAAAAGATTGAAAGTAAATAACAGATCTAAGTTCAATCTATCTGATAGAATGACCGTAATACTAATTTTCATATACAATATACTTTCGTCCTAAGAAAGTGGAACAAGGCAATAAATACTTATACAAGAAAAAAAAATTCAAATTGTATTTAGTGAGAAATAATTTAGCCAGTATATTCTTGGATAAAAAAATTACGACTTATTACAATTAAATTCATCTGTGGGCTGGTCTTTGATATATCTGTATACTACAGCATTTACAGTCTATATTTTCTTCTTAAGTTTTCTTTTTCTGATTATCTGTTCACTGTTTATACAATATACAACAAAGTATAAAAAAAATCTTCCCATTTACAAAATGTTTGTTAAAATTTACTTCCAGAGCGGAGGGACTTATTTTGATTGAAACTCGAATTTACTACCATCAACATATATATATATATATATATATATATATATATATATATATATATATATATATATATATATATATATATATATATATATATATATATATATATATATATATATATATATATATATATATATATATATATATATATATATATATATATATATATATATATATATATATATATATATATATATATACATGTATGTGTGTGTGTGTGTGTGTGTGTGTGTGTGTGTGTGTGTGTGTGTGTGTGTGTGTAGGACTCCAAAGTGCGATGGGACTCCAAAGTCCGATGGACACGCCAAAGTCCGATGGTCTGCGCTAATCCCCGATGATCTGACACGCCAAAGTTCGATGGTGCGGAAAATAATTAACGTTTATGACGTCATAGTACCACTGCACCAAACCTCAATGTCAAGCTTTAAAAAATAAGTATAAATAAATAAATGCGAAAACTAACCCTTATCTCTCAGATAGTTGCGAGTCTAATCCTAAACTCTCGAAAAGTGTGTATTAACAATAACCTAGATATCTTGGGTGGGTCACTACTGGACGAAAAAAGTGCTGAGAATCCCAAATTTTACTGATAATGTTTGATAATTACTGATACGGTGCTGTTCTTGCTGATAATTACTGATATTTACTGTTATTATTATTGTTGTTGCTGATAATTTTAGCTGTTGCTGATAAATACTGATAATTACTGTCGTCTTTTACTGTGGAGTCTGATAAATGCTGATAAATACTGTTGAGGTACTGTCGCTGCTGAGAATTACTGATAATTACTGTTGAGGTACTGTCGATGCTGAGATTTACTGATAATTACTGTGGTCATTGTTTTTAACCTCTGAATGGATTAAAATAGCCTGAGAAATGATTATTTGGTTTTTTTTTAAGTATTTTAACAAATCCATTACAGTCAATTACAAAATAAATTATTCTAAATAAAAAAGTCACATTTTAATAATTTGTTTTCAGTTTTCAGCTATTAATTTCATTATAATTATTTTTAGACCATAATGTTAACATAAGCTTTCATAAATGTTTATGTTTTTTCTTTAAATTTCTCCTTACACGTAGATGACATTATCTGAGGAAAATTATTCTATTGTATTTGCAGTGGTTTTTCTTCCCAATGACTTTTTAAAAAAGTTTAATGTTTGTTCATATAGGTTAAAAAAATCTCATCTCATATTTTTCTCACATGTCTGTGTACTGTCCTCAAACGCTTTTTGTGGGTATCTTCAATACTTTAATACAGTCAATGGTTGTAAATATCAATTTATTTTACCGTGTGGAGAACTGAAAATGCATGAGCACATTAAGTTAAACCCCCCCCCTTTCCATTTACTTTTAAATTAAGCTCTCATTTTAACAAGACAGTATTAAATATTTGTCATAAAATCTAGTCTTAAGCGTACACTTTGTTATTTTATAGAAGAATGTGACAGGGTTAAATAATTAAATTGAAGCATCTTTAATTATTATTTTTTATATATTATGTAGACAGCAAGCTCTCCCTGCGAATTTTATATCATTGTGTCGCTTTCTAGCTTTTTCTCTCTCTCTCTCTCTCTCTCATTATTTGTTAAGGCTTAAGTATTGTACACTACATGACATAAATCTAATGCAGTGTGATTTTCAGTCAATGAAATATATATACATGTCTTTCTTTAGGCTAATTCTTTTTTCATTGTATACAGTTTTAAGTCTATGGGCATATGGCTTCTAATATTATGCGCCACTCCTTAAACATGTTATATGCGGTCAGTCAGTTAAAAAACAAAATAAAATAAATCATAACTTGAATTAACTTTTTCCATTAATGCACACTTTGTGCTTGTTGTTCTGGAACATACATGTCAACCACGTGTAAAAGTTCTACTTCCGTTTTAGAATCGGGTCAATTATTAGTACATTCTGCCATAGGGAGCTTGCAGTTTTGTAAAATTAGAATTTTGTGCATAGATTATAATTTTTTTTAATTCCATTTTTGTCCGAGACCTTTGTATAAACGAACAGTATAGACTTGGTGTTTATTTATATGAATTTTCTTGATTGTAGCACAAAAAGGAGGGGGTGAAATACTGTTTACAATTAAGTGATAGCCTGTTCTTTAGTTGTGTGTTTTAAAAGTCATGCAAGTTATGATATTATACTAATTATAATCTTTTTATAATTATGCATGAATAAAATTATTTTAGAGAATCAATTGCAATGAACCATACAAAATTCAGAGCTGAAGTAATTGTAACATTTATTCATGAGTTCGATACACAACGTCATGTTTCTGACATTCAATATCCATACAATTAAGGTTTTTTTTTTCTCGGATAAAGCGAAGTGGAGTTTCCCTGCATCTGAATTGTGTACAATTAATGATAATATTATTTCAAAAAAGTGCTTCACTAAACAATCTTTCTCTTTATATCTATACGATTGTATATTTTGCACACTTTTTTAAAATTAAAAATTGGAAGTCAATTTCTCGTCTACGTATTTACTGGTCCCAAACCATCGTTAGCAGAGATTCAGAACTGAAAATACATGTGACCACCTCCCCCGAGATATTCTTTTATCTGATAAACAAAATATACTCCCGGCCTAAATTCCCTTACTTCGCATTTATAGCAACCTACAATTTTTTTTTGTTTAGTTTCTTATTCACATATGCCTTTTAGACCTACTGTTATGTATAAAATCACCTACATTTTATATATTTTTATGGTCTATGTATACTAATGTAAAATGGTAAAAAGATTCAAATAAATGATTGATTGATTGATCGAAGAAATATGCGTAAAACTAAAAAATGAAATTAAATACTGAAGAAAGATAGATCTTTGAGAATTGAATTAATAATTAAAATAAGTCTGTACAACGTACATGATGTACATGTATATATCTTTTTTTTATTATAGTACCAAAGTGTTCTATTCTAAATATTTTTTCTATCAATTTTATTCGTCATCAAATTCAATATTACGGATTTTTTTTTTCGTGCGACCATAAACTTTAAGATTGTTTCAAAGTAGCGAGTACATGTACAGTGTAGGTATAGTTTGTTTATTGATAACACCGGTAGCCGCAGACGAAGAACAATAGGTAATTAGTGCCCATTGTTACGCTGACCACTACAATTTGCATGGAATATACAAGTTGTACCCCGTTCTACCCCGGGGCTGAAGACATGTACACAATACAGCCAAATAACAGGTCGATCACCGATTTCTGATTAATTGAAATAAATTTAAAGGTGTTTTCCTTTCAACTTTTTACCATGCAAAATCAAAATCGATCAATTTGATCATATACTAATAGTAACATATTAAATTAAGTCTCATTTCAGTTCTTAGTTCACCCTCACACACACACACACACACACACACACATATATATATATATATATATATATATATATATATATATATATATATATATATATATATATATATATATATATATATATATATATATATTGGAGATACAAAAAGTATTCAAATCAAAGTCTATAAAACAATACAAAAACATGAAAAGAGCAAACACGGACCTCCACAATATTCCAATGTAGAATCAGGTACTACGGAGGAGTGAGTATCTCCTGATTTGATAATATCTAATACACAATGCAAATATACTGCTTTTAGTTGGCATGCTGCAAAAGTGTACGTATAGACCTAACATACGAGTTTTAAAAGACAGAGCCCTAATCTCTACTGAGTATGACTCAGCTTACAATAATTGTAATTCATTTTTATTTTATTTTCCAATGTCATAAATTTTTTCCTTAAGGCTTTGTAAAATCTATATTGCAGCAGTTTTCATTGCTTCATTTTTCATACGTTGAATTCACCCACTAACGCCGTATTAATGAATGAATGGTGTAGACCGATTTCAGTTCCTTTGATTTCCAATGTGAAAAATGTGATGTTTATATGTATAACATAAATATGTCCATTTGAATATGCATGGATTTTAGTTGAAAAACACATTCTAATATTATGTCAGGACCATTTATTGATGAATTTTCATTGAAAATATTGTCAGAGGTAATAACATATCAAAGTCGATAAGAATTTCCATCCGATATATTTAACATTTAAAAGAAATGAAAATGGAGTTAATATTTCAAAGTGTATTTCAAAAATAATAATCAATAAAGAAAAATATTATCGTGCGTGAAACTACTTAAATTTAAATGGGAAATTACGGTTTTGAGGTTTGACATCCCGAGACTATTTTTAACAATGAACTTAAAATCCCTCTAATTTTGTCAAAAAAAAATAATTGAATCAAAACATGGGATATTGTACTTTGGAAAATTACTATTCCAAAGATGTTTTAAATAACGAACTTACAGAATTTTCAATTTTGTCAAATCACTGAAGGCATTTTCCTCTATTGTTGTAATGGTGTTGCCGCTAAGATCCCTGAAAGAAATTGTAAAAGAGACAATTTTTTTATCATCCTCAAATATGCGTAAGAGTTTTACTTTAATCGTTAAGAAAAAGCATCGATCACTTCAAAAATTATTACATGCCTCATAATGTAAAAACAGTTATATGAAATCTAAAAGTCATCCTCTTGGCGATTTATAAAGCATATACTGTCCAAATTCAGGTTAAAGCAGTTTATTATACCTCTATTGATAATACTCGAATTTGATTGGTTGGTAAGACAACTTTAAAAACAACAATGACTCCAAATGGTACTGTTTACAGCAATAATGACCTAGGAATCATTGCACGTGGGATATAATGACCCGGTCATGAATATTAATGACCGCTAAATAATGACCTCTTAATCAAAAATTCCTTTTTGAGTGAAGTTCATGCATGAAATAATTACTATTCGAGAAAAACAACACGTTTTTAAAATTGTGCATGGTCTGGTTTGCTTTACCATACAGAATACGGTAAAATTTTATCTTTAACGGTTTACTCATTGCAAAATATCGTTACAATTCAGTTCAACGTAACAGCATTAAACAGGTAGAATCGGCTCTTTAAACAGTTGAATTCTGTGTTAAATTCTAACTGTGTAGAGGAAAAGTAATCGCTTGTTAAACAATTTATGTCGCTATCAATCAAATATGGTTTTAATCAGTAAATCATGATGCAAAAACTTACATGACTTGTAGACGTCAATGGGTATAGCAAATCCCGATCCCGATCAAAGGAAGAATTGATATAAATCTAACAGTTAGAGGTTCATACTTTTCAATATATATCGGTATAATAAAACAATTGATTACCCCTTATAAGTTCAACATGGTGAAATAAGGACCCTCGACCTGGCCCAATTGATCACCTGCCCTGACCTCGGCCACTTCGCGGCCTCAGTCAGGCCAGGTCACCTCGTGGGCCAGGTCTCGGGTCCTTATTTCACCATAATGACATCAAAAAGAATAATTAATTGTATAATAATGTGGGTTGCTGTTAAATTCATTTTAAAGAAAAACACAAGTATAGAGATATTTAGGCCTCCTTACGCATCATACTGTTCGAATTCCTTATTGAGGTTCGTGCCTACATTAAAAAAAACACTACAAAGAGGTTCCTCCTGTTCTTGACATCTTGACATTATCGAATCAACATATAGATATTATACTTTGTTGGATTGAGATTCCAACAAAATAAAATAGAGTTAGGAACTGTTAAACTTAAGAGATCTCAAGTTAGCTTGTCAGACCAGTAAATGTGTTTTCCATAATTGCAATTAATTTGTTCATGTAATTTTTAAAAAAGAAAAACATGTGAAGAGATTATGTCAGAAGCAAGGTTTTTATATATAACAAAATTTATCATTCAATAAACAGGGAAGTGTTTATTATTACGTGAATAATTCCTACTAGCTTCAAAATTTCAATTCATTGAATTCAGACGGTAAACACTGGGCTGGTACTTCTCACTCTATCAATTAATAACAATTTAACCTCTTTTTAAAAGAAAGTTATAATTAATAATGATATACATGTAATAATCATCTAAATTGTAAATTATATTTCTGGTCTTACAAGCAATGATAGCGCAAATATTTCTAACAAGCCTCAAAATCTCAACACAGGTATGGAGATAATTTACAATTATCCACTTTATGGAAGTGGGATATCTCTTTTATCAAATCTGTGACAGTGACTATTCTTGTCAAGGTTTTGGTAAAAGAGCCATCCCACTATCAACCAATTGATCAATGTTTTATGTTTCATTATATTGATGTATAAAATAATTTCTAAGGTTTGATTTTTTGGTGTAAGAAAATACTGTGAAAATAAGATGAAATCCTGATCCTGAAGTCATTATGATATCATTGGTCTATAGATTTATTGATTAAAATCAAAATTGGCGGCACAAATTATAAGAAAATTTTTCGAAAGGTTGGGTAGCAAAAATATACCCGGGCTAAAGCTTTCTATTCCTGGACATTTTCAGATTATAAAAAAAAATAGTTAATTACCTGCAAAACTATATAAAGGAATCACTTTAACAGAAGTAAAATAACGAACAGTTTTCAATATCAAAGTACATTAAAAAATACAAAATAGGAGCAGGGCAAACACGAGCTACGAAACATTAGAGGTCGGATCAGGTGCCATGGAGGACTGAGCATCCCCTGCTGACCGATCACACCCACCGTGCGCTGATGGTCATGATCGGGAAATAACGAAAAATCCGTCATAATTTAGTGTGTAAATAATGGCCTAACCATTAGTATGAAGACGTCGGTCAGCATTTAACTCAGTTTTATTTCCTGACTAGGACGTAGAACTAACGAAAAGATGACTTTATACGGGACTTTTGATGTTCTTGCTTTATCAACTAGTTTATTAATAATTTTACCCCGTTCTAGAAACTGCACATCAAAAGAGCTTGCTTGTTGCGTTAACTGACAGAAAAACCCGGTATATAGGTGATGAAGATGTTAATAATAAAAATTGGTTGTTACATTATCATATCAAACTTTAACATGATCAGCCTCCACTTAATTATCAGTCAATCTGAATCATGTAACTTACATTAACCTCATTAAAGCTTTGATCCTGAATAAGGTTTAATGTATATACTTGTCTTAAATTTTAGAATAAATCAAGTGAATTACACGCATCATAGTGCTCATTATTCAGTTTTTGTTTAACGTTAATCTAAAAAGAACAAATCTAAAAATCGATATTTTATTCTTGGCAGTGTTGAATCAAACTATAGTATGCTATACTTTAGTGGATTGATACTCCAAAAATATATAAATGGTTAATGACTACTCCAAAATATATAAATGATAAGAGATTCTTAGAAAAAGCTTACAAGTCAGTTAACTTTGTCAAACCAGTAAATATGCTGCTCTTGATTGTAGTCATTCTGTTCTGGTTCAAATATCTGAAAAGAAGTACAAAGTAAAAATCGAAAGCAGGTGATTCCTAAAAAAAAGAAAGGTTCCTTTTTTTCTTGGAGAAATTATCACGTAAATAACTCCATCTAGATCCACACAGCCAATACATGGTTTTACACGTGATTTGAACTGGGTTTGGGAAGTTTTTGTTTTGCAGTTTACGAGGGCTTGTCAATTAACAGTGTCCTCGATGCTTGGAAAGAAGCAAAACAAAAAAGAAAAAACTCTCCAATGATAAAGTATCATTGATTTAACTTAATATTTTCTTTTATTTAAAAAACATTTCGATACATTTTTCATTCAATTTCTGATCGTTTTTTTCTTCAACATGTACTATGTAAATGGTGTTTTTTTCGTGTTTGGAAAATGAAAAAAATAAAAGGCGAAAAATCTGGCAAATATTGTTAATGTGAAAAAAATACTTTCTGTTTATAACAAAAAATCCTTTACTCTTCAGGGCGTCCGGCTTTGGACGCTGTCATCAAGAAATTTAATGTAGCAAATTACTGATTCTGGTCCCTTCCTCTCATTAACCTTTCGATTTTTGCAAAAACAATTGCTTTCTATAATCTTCCAGAAATAAAATTTCCTCCTGAACACGAATTTGAACAACAAAACCACTAATATTAAAGAAAGTTGCATATAAAATTGTCTTTGTGCTCCTGCAATTCTTTGCGCTTCTCAGACCATTGCTGTTTTTGTCAAGTACATCTTATTGTAATTTTTTTACCGAGGTTTTTAAGCAAAAGATTCAAGTTTTATTATGTGTTTGAATTTCAATCAAACATGGATAACTACAATTACTTATATTTAAAAATAATTGTTTAGATATTCTCACACATTGTCGTTTTTACTCATATCTCAAAACAAACGGTGACCATTGAGTACTAAGCTTTTTTACTGTTAAACATTTCTTTAAAACAGTGTGAACTACTCCTCAAATGATGTATATCAAATAAACTGTGTGTCTTAAAGTCAATCATCAGTGATTATTCGTTGAAATAACTTTATTTGGTAGTAACCAATATTTGCCCCCAAATCAAACTTTGAAATATTTTCATTATGTTTTTAAACAGGGGGATATATGCTGACTTCAAAGCACTGAATATTGTTATAAGCAATGACGTTATATATTTGAAATGACGTCATATGACGTAAAATAAAAATTTCCTTGATTTCTGCAGAAAAATGTATATGTTACGTCGATATTTTGAGTAAAAGTCATCGAGCACAGGTCTGATCAGGATCGATATTTTGATATCATGTGTAGAATGATAATATCAATCCTGAACAAACTTGCGCTCTACAAATTTTAAAGCAAAAATTGTTGAAATTTTGTCCATTTTTTCCTCTTTCTGAAAAATGATATAAAATCGGACTAGTTTTCGACGTTATCAATAAACTACTTTGAAACTTTGATATGTTCTGTTATTGATATTGATATTCACCTGCCCATTTGTCTATGAAACAAACAATGGTTCCCGTAAATTTCCTCACATTTCAGTGAATATTTCTTTGAGACTTAACGAGTTTTACAACAGCTTAAATGAAGCGTTTAATTTCACTCTAGTTTACTTATTCTAAACCATTCATTTTTAATTCAGTGTCTCGAATAGCCTTTGTTTTGCAGCTTCTCACAATGAAACTATCTGATGAGAAGTGGTCACATAAATTATTATTAACTTATTTTAGATTCAATTATGCGAAAAGGTCAAGCTTAATGTTATATAAAATCTGTATTGTATGACACACAGTTCAGGACATTATTTATTGAACAACCCTCATATAGTTTGTACAATTGATATCCTAAAAACACACAAGGAAATTAAAAGTTTCTATTAATTTGTCTACTTATTGAAATAATAGAAAACAACAAGAGATATTATAGTTTGGAGGGAATCATATTCCAAGATATATATCTAAAAAAACAAACTTACAGTCTTTCTAAGTTCGTCAATGCACTCATTGCATTGTCCTCTATTGTGGTTATTCTGTTTTGATGAAGTACCCTGAAAAAAATGTGCAAAGGGAATATCAAGTGCAATTATTTATCACCTTAATATTATAAAAATTTTACATTTTCCTTATATATATATATATATATATATTCATGGTTGATTAGCTTTTACTAGCGAATATAGTGCAAAGTAACCAAAATGCACATGTGACCAATTTTCATAATTTTTTTGCCACATAGTCAAAAAAATTCCCATATTATGTTCTCATGCGTTTTTTTCCTTTCAGTAAATTTATATATATATATATGTTCTCATGCGTTTTTTTTCCTTTCTGTAAATATATATATATATATATATATATATATATATTTAATTTACATCCTTAAATTAATTTATGTAAAACATCTGACACGGCAGACCCATGCTAGCAATTAAGTTTCTTAATCGCAAAATTTCTTATCCGTTAGATTAAAGCAATTCTCGAAGATCTTTCTGTAAATTGGTATGATTTATATTCTCGGCCGTCGGATGCTAAGATATGCGCGCGGGTTCTCACGCCTTTCACCATTCCCTCACAGAACCTTGTCAGTGAACGCGCAAACAAAAATTCTGCTGTAATTTTAATTGTTGATCTCTTCATATCTATTCAATTGGGATAGAAAGGTATGGATTTTAATTTTTGATGTTTATTTTCCTCGGCATGTTGGATCCCTATGTTCTTAAATTTTTTAATGTGGAACAGAACTAGCTTTTTTGGTGAAAGCATATATCTCAAAACAATGGTATCTATTCTGATTGCGGGATCTTCTCATGTAAATAGATTACAATCGTATATCCGAGAACATTGTGAATATGCTAACTTCAATTTATCCGCAACGGCGATTAATTATTTTGGAATAAGTGGTGGGAAATTATCATGTTCCGCTCATATAAATATGTTAGAAAGGAAAATCGCTGATCTACGTCCAGGTGTACTCATTTTACATATAGGAGGAAATGATGTTGACAATGTAACAGCAGATGAATCGTTTGTGAGGGAATTAAGCCTGCGCCTTTTATGCATCGCAGAAACTTTCACATCACGCTACAATATTGCACATGTGAAAATTTGTCAGCTAATGCCTCGTTTTAGGACTCGACTTTTAGACACAACATCGTATAATGAACTTGTGATCAAATTCAACAGAGAATTGAAATGTCTGCTGGTACAGAAAACGAGTGTGCAATATTGGAAGCTTAAAAATATTAAACACTCTAAATTTCCGATATTTTGTGATGGCGTTCACTTTAACGAAGAACAGGGGATGATAATATACTATAGGAATCTACGTGGGGCAATATTGCACTCCTTGAAGGCTATCCAAAAGTGATGGCATGTTACCTTCACCATATTCATGTTATGAGATAAGTTTCATTTTAATTTTAATTTTTGTAGTAATTATGCATTCAAGATACATGTACTTGAATTTTGAATATCGATGTCATACCAAACAATATTATGGTGTATAGAGTGTAGAACATTTTACGATAGCTGCTAGTCATTTGATGCACATGGCATCGTTTTAGTGATCTGTCACTATATATGCACTGTGATATGTCACAGTAGAAACGGCTTCTGCTCATTTTGATGCACATGGCATCTTGATGTTTGCGATATGTCGCTATGAGCTGTAATATGTACAGCTGAGCAGTTGCTTTTATGTTATGGCTAGCAGCTTATATGTGTGAAGTGTCGCTACACTCTGATGTATGGTACACCTGAGAAAGGGGGTTACACAAAGTCATTCTGTTTCAACTTTAACAACTCCGAGCAGGGAATTAGCAACAGAAAGGAATGTAAATTTTCCCATTCTTGTCAGCTCTGCGAGGGAGAGCACAGTAGAAAGGTCTGTCCCACGTCCCTCAAATCAAGCGCAAATGCTAAAGGAAGACATAGAGTTAGCAGTAATCATGGTCCGACAGAATTTACAAAGTCCACATCCAAATCATCAAAATAAAAATTTTGAAATTGTTACCCCAGTTAACCCTGATAGGTTACATGTATGGCTATTAAATTACGATATACCTGATAGGGAGTTTCTGGTCTTAGGTTTTAGAGAAGGATTTAAAATACCTTTTCAGGGTAAAAGACAATGCAGACTTAGCGACAATTTAAAATCCGCTAAGCAACATTTAGACATTCTTCAAGAAAAAATAAACAAAGAATTAGCCTCTGGTCGAGCTGCTGGTCCGTTTCAAGAACCACCATTTACTAACTTTCAAAGTTCGCCCTTAGGCTTAGTGCCCAAAAAGCAACCTGGCGAATTCCGGGTTATCCATCATTTGTCATACCCAGAAGGTCAGTCAATTAATGACGGAATATCTCAAGAATTCTGTTCCATCAAGTATCAGACAATTGACGACGCGGTTAAAATTCTTAAAAAGTATGGCAAGGGGGCTTTATTTTCGAAGACTGATATTGAGAATGCATTTAAAATCATTCCTGTTCATCCTTCAGATCACGAATTACTAGGCTTCACGATAGGAAGTTATTATTTTTTTTTTTATAAAACTTTACCCATGGGTCTTAGTTATTCCTGTAATCTCTTTGAGAAATTTAGCTCATCACTTCACTGGGTTATGGACTATCATTACAATGCTTCCTGTGTACATGTTTTAGATGATTTTCTTTTCATTGGTCCAGCCAACACAAATCAGTGTTTAAATTCGCTGGAAAACTTTTTGAACCTGTGCAAAGATATAGGAGTTCCCATTAAATCTGAGAAAACAGTATATCCCACAACAACAATTACATTTTTAGGTTTAGAATTTGATTCAGAAAAAATGGAATTAAGATTGCCAGATTACAAGCTTCTCAAATTGCAAGAAACACTAAATAGTTTCAAAAGGAAGAAAAAAGCTTAACTACGCGACTTACAGTCTCTTATTGGCTTGTTAAACTTTGCATGTTCTGTTGTATTACCTGGCCGCACATTTCTCAGACGACTGATAGATCTCACCAAAGGTTTAAGATTACCGCACTTTAAGAAGTACTTGAATAAGGAAGCTAGGGCTGACCTTGAGGCCTGGTCAATTTTCATTAACCATTTTAATGGCAGATCCTTAATTTTAGAAGATAAATGGATTACTTCTGGAATATTATCCCTCTATACAGATGCAAGTGACCTTGGTTTTGGGGGTACTTTTCAAATGAACTGGTTTTGTGGGAAATGACCTGAAAAGTGGCGCCAGCTACACATTACAGTCAGGGAACTATTGCCTATTATACTGGCCTTAGATTTGTGGGGCCCCGACCTGCAAAATTCCTGTGTTAATTTTTATTCTGATAACATAGCTGTAGTGTACATTATTAACAAACAAACTTCTACTGATCCAACTATTATGAAATTAATGCGGCGTTTTGTCGTCAAGACAATGCAGTTTAACATTTTATTTAAGGCAAGTCATGTCCCTGGTGTACTTAACGTTGCTGCAGATAAACTTTCTCGCTTACAGGTACAAGAATTCAAGGAGGGGTTCCCATCTATGAATCCAATGCCGACACCAATATCTCCAACAATGCTCAACCTTTAAAGAACGTAGCAGACTTCATTTTGCAGAGTTCACTTGCTAAAGCTTCTAGGTCATCATACGATAGAGCTTTTACATGTTATAAGTCCTTCATGTTCAACCAATATCCAAACGTCCCCATCTTACCACCATCATCTCAACATGTCGCACTTTTTGTAGCCTTTTGTTTTCAATCCAACATGGCGACGTCGACCTTGAAAAGTTATCTATCAGCTCTAGGATATATATTTAAATTAAAGGGCTATCAAGACGTAACACAGCTTTTTGTAATTCGCAAAATGCTACAAGGGTATGAAAAGTTAAAACCAGGTACCAGGGATACGAGGCTGCCTATAACACCGTCTATTCTAAGAAATTTAGTTGACTCGCTTGATCATTTAGGTATCTCATTTTACCAGCGCAGCATGCTAAAATCAATGTATTTGTTGGCCTTCCATGCCTTCTTAAGAGTGGGGGAAATAACTATCACATCTCGACATCACAGAGGTAATGTTTTGCTACTGGAAAATGTTGAGCTTGTTCGAGACGAATCAAACACACTAGAAGGCCTAGAAATAAGACCTGCTTCTTTCAAGCACAGTTCTGGCCGACATATTCCCACCTTGTTTCTACAGGCTAGTAATTCCGATGAAGGGCTCTGTCCAGTGCAAGCACTATTGTCATTTATTACACTAAGGGGTCAAGTCATGGGTCCCCTTTTTTCTTACCCTGATGGTCATGGAATCCAAAGGCAACAATTTACAAACTTTCTACAAATGTCTTTAAAGTGGTCGGGTCTCGACTCTAAACTCTATAAAACTCATAGTTTTCGAATTGGTGCGGCAACGTCAGCAGCCGAAATGGGTATTTCAGATTAAAAGATTAAACAGATGGGACGATGGCATTCCGACGCATACAAGAAATACATACGCATACCTGTTTTGAAAATCTAAATATTTTCTGCAGTAAGTATAATCATGGGGACAGGGGCCTCTGATTATGCACTAAATATCAACACATACTACGATCAGCTGGTTTTTGGACATAGCGAATATAAGTTTCCAGATTTATATTTAATTTCCCTTTATAGCATGGACTGTTTTGAATTTTAAACCTAGGTCATGGGGACATGGGCCTCTGACTTAACCTTATAAATATAGCATGGAATGTTTTGATTTTCAAACTTGAGTCATGGGGACAGGGTCCTCTGACTTAACCTTACAAATAAAGGATGGACTGTTTTGATTTTTCGAACTTACACGTAAGTCATGGGGACAAGGGCCTCTGACTTAACCTAATGGAGGTACAACTGCGTTCATTTTTCTTCGACATTAAGTCACGGGGACATGGGCCTCTGACTTATTCGCCTGGTTGTGTTTATATAATGTATAATTTGTTTTTTTATTCCGGTTGGCTGTAATAGTGATGTTAGAAACTTTGATGAAATATGACAGAGGATCGTGAACTTAATTATAACGTATTATGGACACTGCTGGTTAATGGAGCTTGAACTAGATCCTTCTATCACTTATAAAGG